ATGTTTGATCCTCCCCTCCTCCTCTACCTGAGGATCCCGGTCACGCACTTGACCCCGACTAACGATTCTTGAGGATGGGGTGGCGCTGGTCCCCCCACTGGTCGATCCTTGTCCCCTCCCGGCAGCGAGAGTTTGCCTCTGCCTTAGAAACCCTAGATCAATGCAGGGCGTGCTGGATATAGCTACCTTGAGGGCGTCCTCGGTGTCTAGAGATTGTAGGATTTGGAAGTCCGGCCACGAATCTCTCCCCGAAGTCCCCNTACCTCGAGGGCGTCCTCGGCGTCTAGAGATTGTAGGATTTGGAAGTCCGGCCACGAATCTCTCCCCGAAGTCCCCACCTCAGCGTGCGAAGGATCCAATTCCTCTCTGACCCCGAGCTCTTCAACTATACCCTCTACTTCTGCCTCCGAGGCCCGGTCAGGGTCTTCTTCCAAGTTCTCCTCGACTTCTTGCCCCACCGCCTGATCGAAGAGTTCACACCACCGCAAAGGCTCGAAAGGCTAGGGAAGCTGTGAAAACTTCTTATATCCTGGAGTATAATTCAGGAGGATGTGGGCAGCCCGACCGAGCCCGTCGTCACCAGTGAATCTCCAAACGGTGACTAGGTCCGCAAAATTCACCAACGACCGGGNCTAGGTCGGCAAAGTTCACCAACGACCGAGGGGGAGGAACTGTTTCCCGAGCAGGGACGTCTGCACAAACAAAAAAGGAGTCATGAACATAGAAAATTTCAAGAACAAAATAATAGACCCGAAGGAACCGACGTACTTGTTGTTCTCCATTCCAAAGGGCATAACAAGCCATTATACTCGGGACCGACACCTCTCTGCCAAGTTCCCTTGAAGATGAGTAGGTCATCCTTATACCCCTTGTCCGAGTCAGGAAGGTGAGTTACGAGGTACATAGATGGGTCCCTGGCTTTGAGGTAGAAGTGTTGTTGAGGCGTAACTTTCAAGAAGAAATAACAAAAAAGGATATCGTTCAGCCCGACGTTTACCCCAAGACGCCTATTGAGCTCTAGGACCCCCATAATTATCCTAAAGACATTAAGACAACACTGCCCGGGAAAGAGGCGAAAATGAGAGAGGAACTGGAGAAGCAGAGGGGTCAAAGGGAACCTAATCCCACCTTCTATGATGGCTTTGATAAAAAAAGGCATTGCGTCCTCGGTACCGAGGGTACGAGGGTGTACAGCCGGGTCATAATCCTCTATGTCTACATTCCGGGGAACGCTGTACTTAACCCTAAATCTATTAATTTGTTCACCACCTTTTACTTTATACTTCCCTGGCCTCGAAGTATTGGCCTGAGGGTTCTCGGGGGCAAGGCGACGATGAGACATCTTCAAAAAGTGATAAAAAATAGAGGGGGTCTTTTCCACGAAGATCCCCAAGAAGGCTTCCCAGGGATTGGTCGCTGAAAGGCAACCAGAAAACACCTCTGGTGATCGAAAAACCAAAAGAGACAGAAGGGCAAAGAAAGGGAAGATACTGGGACTCACCAGAGTGTAAAAAGAGGTTTTTTCTGAAAAACTTGAATCGACTCCTTCCAAGAATGTTCAGAAGCAAGGATGAGTCTGCTGGCTTTAAAGCTTCAGTGAAAAGGTTGGGTAGTTGACAAACGGAAGGAAAGAGGTCTTCGGCGAAGATTCAGGCAAGGGCTCTCTATGAAGAAAAGTTCAGAACGATGAAATGAGAAAAGAAGAGAGAAAACCCCTTTATATATAGCACCTATCCCTTCATTGGGCGCGAAGCACGAAACGGCGCATTTAATGCGCACGACATCCTAAGCAGGGGAAACGGCTAGGGGCATTGATGAAANTCAGGCAAGGGCTCTCTATGAAGAAAAGTTCAGAACGATGAAATGAGAAAAGAAGAGAGAAAACCCCTTTATATATAGCACCTATCCCTTCATTGGGCGCGAAGCACGAAACGGCGCATTTAATGCGCACGACATCCTAAGCAGGGAAAACGGCTAGGGGCATTGATGAAGCAGTTGGGGTTGTTGCAAAACCCTTCGTCTCCTTACAACCCGTGTCCTCGGTGTCAGAAGATCGAAGGCTGGGGGGCAGTTGATGAGACATTTTTGGAATACTCCAAGATGAAGACACGTGTCCTCGGTGTCACTGATCCTTGTTATCGAGATCACGTACCCATCGGGTCACAAGTCCCCTCTACCCCGAGGTACTTATCATGGATCGAGTGGNTCGGTGTCACTGATCCTTGTTATCGAGATCACGTACCCATCGGGTCACAAGTCCCCTCTACCCCGAGGTACTTATCATGGATCGAGTGGCATCCAGTATGTTTTTATGTACCGACACGTACCCTCGCTCTGATATGGTACATCGGTTGCTAGGCCTCCCCCTCTCGGATTCAAGATGTACCTATTCCTCGGTTCCGAGATGTACCTTTTCCTCGGCTCCGAGATGTACCTCTTCCTCGGCTCTGAGATGTACCTCTTCCTCGGTACCAAGATGTACCCCCTCTCATCCAGGATGAAGTTCTCTGCTCCAGCAGAGGCTATTGATGCACTGGCCACTAGTCTAGGCTAGGCTAGGTTAGCTATCATGACCTCGTCTTACACAATTGGTGTCAGAAGGCACAGGAAGGTAGGGGCCACAGCCAATGAGGAATGGACGCGTGGCATATTGTGTCACATCAGAGATAGAAAGACCGCATGACTTTGCTGACACGCGACTTGGGAAAACAAGCATTTAATTACACCATTCCCTTGATGAGACTGCATTCAATGCGGTAAGGCTCAGAAGTGAAAGGCAATAAATGTCTCTAAGGTTGGGCATTTATTGCATCCTCCCCGAGAGGAGCTCATTGAACTGTCGGTAGGCCGATGACACAGTCTTGATTGCTCGGGGTCCCGAGCAGTTAAGAGAGAAGACATTCCTCATAGGAATCAGTGCGCACGTTGCCTGTATCTAATGATCACCTACTGACCACACTGACAGCAATCATAAGTATTTGAGTTATAAATACTCCTCACTAAAGGCAAGGAAAAGGAGGTGAAATTTTTGCTACAAATTATACTCAGTGTTTTCTTCTTCCTCTCTTTCAAAAACTAATTTGATCGTCGGAGGGGATACGCCGGAAAACACTCCGGCGCCCTTCTAACTTGTTCTTCTTTGTTCCAGGAACCTTTCTTTAGCCTTACTGGATCGTTCCTTTGATCCGCGAGGATCTCTCATTACCGTTTCAAGTTACTACCGGATCTAACAGGCTGTTCCAAGCAGCGTGGTTGACCACCCAACTGACTCACTCGAGTTCACCAAGAGAGAGATCTGTTCTCGTTTTTATATTGTGCAAGATCTAGCACGCACAGAATCATAATCATTTGCAAAGTTCAAGAAAGATAAAAACTTGAAATTCAAAACAATCATTTAGCACACTTAAGTTCAAGAGACCAATCAAAAAAATACCGAAAAATGTAAAATTTTATGTTCTCTTCCTTTCCTAACAACCAGATAGAAGATACTCTTCTCTTAACNTCAAAAAAATACCGAAAAATGTAAAATTTTATGTTCTCTTCCTTTCCTAACAACCAGATAGAAGATACTCTTCTCGTAACAACTCAGTCAAATAGAGATCCTTACTTGCCAAACATGATTTATTTGAAGGAGAAAAAAGGACTGCATCATTGTTAAAATCCAATTAAAAAGCAACTAAAATCCAATTAAAAAGCAACAATGCAATTTTGTATGCATTTTTCATATTTTTATGTTGAATGATTTTATTTTGTGTAAAAAGTAATTTCATTAGATATAAATATATCATCCTACTTATCAAAAAAATAAAAAAAATAAAAAATAAACTTTATAAAATGTCAACCCAATACATTTTAGTCTATTAACACAATAGATNTTTCATTAGATATAAATATATCATCCTACTTATCAAAAAAATAAAAAAAATAAAAAAATAAACTTTATAAAATGTCAACCCAATACATTTTAGTCTATTAACACAATAGATGGTAATTTTGGCATTTTTAAAGAATAGGTAATCAAATCGTGCACTTTATCTAATGTCAGAGATGGAAGTTACTGTTAGGAGGTGTCCATGATTCAACAGTATAAACTAAAAAAGGGTGCAGTGAAGTTTCAAAATTGGGAGGGGGTGTCATTACATTTAGACCTAACTATAAGGGGTGTGTATGAAATTTTTTATTTTATTAAATTGCTATGATATATTTTAGAAAAATCTTCATCTACACCCCTTCTAGGTAGACATATATCTTCAATGAGACTCTGTTTTCTGAATTTTTTTATTTATTAAAATTTAGATTAAATAAAATTTGATTTAAGTTAATCAAAATTCATTTTTTCCGTATTAATATTCGAGTCAATTAAAAATTATATTTTTTATGTAGATTCAAGCCAATTAAACTTCATTTTTAAACAAATTTTAATCAATTCGAATTAAATTTGAACCGGCTCGAATGTTAATACATAAAAAAATATAAATTTTAATCGAATCAAACTTTAATACGTAAAAAATTAATTTTAATCAGTTCGAATCGAATTTTAATTTTCAAATTTTAATACGTAAAAAAATATAAATTTTAATCGACTCAATCGAATTTTAATCAGCGATAGCAACTTAAGTTAGGCTCGAATCGACTCAAATTTTAATACATAATTTTTTTTAATAGGCTCAAATTTAGATACATAAAAAATAAATTTTAATCAGTTAGAATTAAATTTTAAATGACTCGAATTTTAATCAAATATTACTTAGAAGATTATTTTGGGTTTATATAACGGCAATTTTGATATTTTAGATGATACTTTTTTTGTTAAAAATGATAATTTGACATAAGGGGTGTTAATGACGTTTTGAATAATAGAGGACATTTCATTAAAAATAAATCTATCTAAAAAGAGCGTGAATAACAATTATCCCTAATTTTACAAAAAAAATGGCAGGGTATCAAGTATAGTATTGATACTTAACATTCTCTGTACTTGATGCAGCCCCCCTTCCCCATCTTACAAATTCCATACTCTCTCTCTCTCGTGATGACAGAAGTCGGTGCAGTATTCGATCCCAAGGACATTATTTAACTGTAAGCAATTAGTCTATTCTTTATTTTGACCCTTAATTCATCAGAGCCGTGACCCTGAGTCTCTCGGTCATGGCTTTCTTCATTCTGAAGTGTTTCCTACTACTACTCACCTCAATTATCTTCTCAAAATGTGCTGTCCACCCTCCTTCTTCCACAACTACTCTTGATTTCCATCTCTCTTCTATGAGATCCATATGCAAGTCCACACCATATCCACACGTTTGTTTTGACTCACTGAAGCTCTCCATCTCCATCAATATCAATCCCAACCTCATCACCTATCTCCTTCAAACCCTTCAAACTGCCTTGCTTGAAGCTGGAAAGCTCACGGATTTGTTGTCGAATGTTGAACACTCAAATCTTATCGAGAGACAAAAGGGAACAATCCAAGACTGCAAGGAGCTTCACCAGATAACAGTCTATTCCATAAAGAAAACCATGTCTCGAATCAGTGCAGGAGCAGCTAACTCCCAAAAATTAGCCGACGCCAAGGCCTTTCTGAGTGCTGCTCTCACTAACAAGAACACCTGCTTAGAAGGCCTGGATTCAGCGTCAGGTCCATTGAAGCCAGCCCTTGTGAATTCCATAACTAGTACATATAAGCACGTTAGCAATTCTCTTTCCATGCTCTCTAAGTCAGGCGCAGGGGTACCAAAAGGCCATAAGAACCGTCGTCTCATGGGTGCTCCAAAGTGGCTGTCTAGGAAGAATCGTCGGATTTTGCAGAGCTCCGGAGATGAGTATGGCCCGAGTGAGGTGTTCACAGTGGCTGCAGATGGAACTGGGAATTTTACAACCATCACCGAGGCTATTAATTCTGCTCCAAACAACAGTGTCGATAGGGTTATTATCTACATCAAAGAAGGGGTGTACGACGAGACTGTGGACATTCCAAGAGATAAGCCTAACATTGTTCTGCTTGGAGACGGAGCTGATACCACTGTGATTACCGGTAACAGAAGCGTGAATGATGGCTGGACTACTTTCAGATCTGCCACTCTTGGTAAAAATTACACTTAAAATTCTCTTGAAATCTAATTTCCATTTTTACCTCCTACATATGCATATATAAACTTAAGGAAAATGTTATTTGAATTTGATTTAGGAACTCAATTTAATAGAACTATTGAATTAGTAGTTGACTTCATCTAATATTATGTCAGATTTTAAGGTTCAAATAGTACTTATATTAAAACTCACAATTAATTTAATGATTGCATTTAAGTCATATCACTAGGTCGCTAAATTAAATTCCTAAAATATTGCTCTAAACTTAATTCTCTTGAATATAAATATGTAAGTGAAAGTTCTTTTTTTTTTTTTTGGGGGGTTCTCAATATAAATTGCAGCGGTCTCCGGTGACGGCTTCTTGGCACGTGACATAACATTTGAGAACAGGGCTGGACCAGAGAAGCACCAAGCGGTTGCCCTTCGCATTAGTGCTGACTTAGCTGCATTGTACAGGTGCACTATGGTTGGTTACCAAGATACGTTGTATGTTCACTCCTTTAGACAATTTTACAGAGAATGTGACATTTATGGGACCATAGACTACATATTTGGAAACGCAGCTGTGGTGTTTCAGGCATGCAACATTACATCAAGAATGCCGATGCCTGGCCAATTCACCGTCATTACAGCACAGTCCCGAGACACCCCGGATGAGGAAACAGGGATCTCCATACAGAACTGTTCCATTTTGGCTACACAAGACTTGTACTCTAACTCCAGCACTACTACTGCTGTCAAGAGCTATCTCGGGAGGCCGTGGAGGGTTTATTCTCGGACGGTCTACATCGAATCCTACATCGATGATTTCATTGCCCAACAAGGGTGGACAGAGTGGTCTGGTAATCAAGGCTTAGACACCTTATATTATGGGGAGTATGACAATAGTGGACCTGGTTCGGGGACGGACAATCGAGTTTCTTGGCAAGGGTATCATGCAATGACTTACGACGAAGCTTCTAACTTCACCGTGTCGGAGTTTATTACAGGAGACGAGTGGCTGGATTCTACATCCTTCCCTTATGATGATGGCGTTTAATTTTGTAGGGACCGATCAGGAACTTGTTTTAATTTCCAGATATGCATAACTTCTATGCTTCTACGTAGCTAATAATATATACTCATCACTGCTATGAGCCAGGCAAAACTCTACTTACAAATTATTTTGAAGAAAAGGAGGGTTCGACTTCGACTACTGGTACTGGTACTGGTACAGAAATTGAAAACTAACTGGTTTAGGATAGAACCTTTCAACTTCACCAAATCACTTCTGATAGAACCTTTCAACATCACCATATCACTTATGAGGATTCTGTCGGTGGCATAGGTACCACTCACTTGCTCACCAGATGATGCAAATCCTAATATCAACAAAAATCTACTAGTGTACTACAGTCACAATCAATATACTAGTATATTGGACAAGAAATAGTCAAACTTTATAAAAATGGCAATAAGCTAGGCGTGGGTCATGATTAATTCAAATGGCTAATGAACAAGATGGACTGAACCAAGGGCTGTCCATATACCAAAAAATAAGTTCTTTTCCGATCGAGGACCAATCTTTTGCATGATGATTCATGCATGCTTTTCCTTGCTTACCCAGGCCCCCTGATGTATTTATTAGCTGATGAATTTATTTTGTGATTAATGAGTCAATCAATGAGAATTAAGGTTTTACAAGGACCCAATCACGGATTTAATTTATTATAATTATTAGATTAATTGTGAATTTCAATGTATAAAGCTCATAGATATGAATATGGGTATACAAGAAAGATAAAAAAAAATACAAGACAAGTGTGTGACATGGATGTGATTAATTAAAGTAATATTATATATATGTTAGATAATAATATATTAAAAACAAAACATATTTTATAATAATATTAATAATTAAGCGTAGCAAATATTAATTTTTTTATTAGAATTGAAATAAATCAAAATAGACATCCACCATTTTTCACCAAACATCATTATATCCATTAACATTCATAATTAATAAATTACGCACAGAAAAAATACAGCCCTCTTAATTTGGCAATGATTTGATTACTGGATGCGCAACTGCACCATACAAATACAATTACACTGTGTGAGAGAGAGAGAGAGAGAGAGATATGGGAGGAGAATATTTTGGGTGTCTATTTGTATGTAAGTTGACAAATTTTAAAGGAAAGAGAGGAAAACAAGTTAGCGAGAAAAGCGGTTTAAAGGGGCATAATATAATATCCATCACCAATTCAGTCCAAGCATATGTTTTATCATGTAACTAAATTCTATCTATGGTGTCCTCCTAAAATTTCTCCAATCCAAACCTCCCCATCATGAGAATTAGATACAAACCTTAAAATTCCAAAACACAAGAAGAAAGACAAATTAGAGGACGCAGAAGTAGAAGTGCTGTTGGTATCGGTATTTGTTTCCGTTGATTGATCTCTTCTCTGCCTTAGCTATAACCTAAGGCAGAGAGACATACCTCTCTGTCTCGGGTGCATTATTTAATTATTAGCAAGTATGGCATTTCAGGATTTTGACCTCCTATCAGAACGCCGAAAAAATGAAAGGAAACTAAAACTCAGAAAGAGGATCGCAATTGCTGCCTTTTCAAGCGTCGTCCTCATTCTCATAGTCGCTGCCGCTGTCTGTGCAGTCATTTATAGAAACCATCAGACTCAGACTGATCAACCCCAAAAGAAAACACCTGCACCCGGGAAACCGGTGCTACAATATGAGAAAGCCGTCAAAGCCATATGTGCCCCAACAGATTACAAACAAACGTGTGAGAGCAGCCTTTTAAAGGCATCCGCGTCCCAACCCAACCCCAACCCCAACCCCAAGGATCTTCTCAAGGCTGCAATTTCTGTTGCTGCCCTTGAGCTCAATAAAACTATCAACCAAACCTCCACCATCAAATTTGACACCCCTGAAAAGAAAGCCATATTTGATGATTGCATGGAACTCCTTAATGATGCCAAAGAAGAATTAAATAGTTCTATTGCCAATGTTGATGGCAAGGAAAAGGATTTAGGAAAGCTTTGCTCAAGAACCCCCGATATGAACAATTGGCTAAGTGCTGTCATGTCTTACCAGCAAACATGCATTGATATGTTTCCTGAAGGAGAAGTAAGATCCACCCTGCAGAAGGCCTTGAAGAATACAAAAGAACTTACCAGCAATGCTCTTGCCATTGTCTCACAACTGTCTTCAGTCCTTGAGGCATTCCAAATACCATCAGTCAGCCGACATCTTTTAGAATCAGAATCCACTGCACCTTCTTTGGATGAGGATGGTCTTCCTACCTGGATTAAGCATGAGGATCGAAGAATGTTAAAGGCAGATGATCCAAAGCAGACTCCAAATGTTACCGTGGCAAAAGATGCTAGCGGAAATTTTACTACAATATCTGCTGCATTGGCAGCAATGCCACCAAAATACCAAGGGCGGTAAGTATATATTGAAGNAAGGCAGATGATCCAAAGCAGACTCCAAATGTTACCGTGGCAAAAGATGCTAGCGGAGATTTTACTACAATATCTGCTGCATTGGCAGCAATGCCACCAAAATACCAAGGGCGGTAAGTATATATTGAAACCCAACATCATCTCACCTTGATCAGTTTCATCATCACAGTTGTTGCACTACCGCCCAATGTTATCAGAACCGGATCGGTCATCGAACCGGCAAGGGGACCGTCAATGGTTCACTGATTCAACCGTTGGGTTAACTGGTCAAACCGATCATATAATAAAAAAATAAAAAAATATATATAATAATTATAAAACTTAATAATTTAGCTAAAAATATAAAATATGTATAAAATACATAAAATTTACCATAAAATTAATGAAATTAAGTAACAAAGTGGGGGTTATTGTATTTTAAAGCAAAGTAAAGAGGTTCAAGTAAATTATAAAGAAAAAAAAGGGGTGTCATTTATAATTTTTTCAAGAATAAGGTTAAAAAAAATCAACTATTTACTGATTTAGGACAAAAAAATTTATTTGTGTAATTTAATTTTTAAATAGGCATTAAACTGTCCAATTTTTATAAAACTGGCGGTTCACGTTTTTTTGTTAAAAATCGGCCGATTTTCCGATTTTTAGCCGGTTCGCTTCCTTAAGCGGTTCAACTAAGGAACTGGACCGGTTAGGGTCCCGGTTCACGGTTGAACCGATCCGACCGACCGGTCCGATCCAATTCTGATAACACTGCTACTACCAAAACTGCAACTATCACAATTGTAGGATGGTTATTTGCTCTATGCATGCATGAAATCATCCATTCCCCATTTCGTTAAATGTTTAATTTAACTTATAATTTGGATTCACAGAGATTTTACTCTATTTCATGTTCACATTCATGACATGCAGGTATGTCATTTATGTTAAAGCAGGAATTTATGAGGAGAATGTCGTAGTGACCAAAAAGATGGTAAATGTTACCATGTATGGTGACGGATCCCAAAAAAGTGTTGTCACCGGAAACAAGAATTTTGTCGATGGAGTTCCAACATTCCAGACTGCAACTTTTGGTATGCTAATTCACAAATATGAAGAACCCTACGGGGTACCCTTTGTTACATGGGCCTGCCCTCCTCTGGTTTCTCATCATTGGATGCTAATCCAGACTTTATATATCACAAAAAAGCTTTTGATTTTAAAAAAAGTCACACCTTCAACAAATAAATAGTTATACAATTATATATTTTGCCCATTTTGTGCTAAGTAGTGATTGCTAAATTATGTTTCCCTGTGTTGCAGCGGCTATAGGAGAAGGTTTTATTGCCCGGTCACTCGGATTTAGAAATACTGCTGGTCCAGAAAAACATCAGGCAGTGGCCCTGAGAGTGCAATCGGATCGTTCAATTTTCATTAATTGTCGTATGGAGGGTTATCAGGACACGCTCTATGCCCAAACCCATCGTCAGTTCTATCGTAGTTGTTACATCACTGGCACTGTGGATTTCATCTTCGGTGATGCAGCTGCCATCTTCCAAAACTGCATGATCTACATCAGGAGGCCAATGGACAACCAACAAAACATAGTAACGGCCCAAGGAAGAGTAGACAGGCGTGAAACCACAGGAATAGTGTTACAGAATTGTCGCATTTTGGCTGATGAGAAACTTGAGCCAGAGAAGTCAAAGATCAAGAGTTATCTTGGAAGGCCATGGAAGGAGTACTCTAGAACCATCGTAATGGAATCAGAGCTAGGTGATGTGATTCATCCAGAGGGATGGCTACCATGGAATGGAGATTTTGCACTGAAGACATTGTACTATGCTGAGTATAACAATAAAGGGCCTGGGGCTAAACTTTCTGCCAGAGTCAAGTGGCCCGGTTATAAGGTTATCAAAAAGGAAGAGGCCATGAAATATACAGTTGGTCCCTTCATACAAGGTGATAATTGGTTGAAGGCCACCAATGTTCCCGTTCGTTTTGGCCTAAACAACTAATTAAGTTGAGTCTCTCGCCGAAGTGGCTATGCTTAAAGATTTTTGAAGGACAGTGGATGGCCGGACTTCCATTAAGGTGCAAAGTGAGTGCAGGTGCGTGTGTGATGGCTGCAAGGGATGACGATATTGTTTTATATGGTCATTCCCCAAATTTTTAAGAAGGCTAGAAAATTACTGTTTTTTCAAAGTATTGTGGTTTAAACAATGTGCACTCTTAATAAGATGTTAAGTAGTAGACTAAGGGTCGGTAGTGCCATTCAAAATGTTGGCAATCATGTCTTTATGTTAGGACAACGAGGAATACTAATCTAACAAGAGAAAATGAGATCAGATTAAATATTGAATGCAACGGTAATACTATATCAACAATACTAATGTTATTTTGTATAAGGAAAATGTTCAAGATAAGACGGTACGCAGATTGATTGATCAAGTGTAAAGTTTATACTTTGACATAATCATTGAAATTTTGTATAAGAAAAATGTTATTTATATTTAATTTGAGGCTCTAATCAATTACAATTATTATATTAAAAGTGAGTTTTATCTAATATTATAATTCACAACTAATTTAGTAACTACATTAAATTAGATCTCTGATTAAGTTCACAAGTAGTAGATCCATATAACCACATTAGTCTTTCTACAATGTCTCTTTAGTAATAAATTATGGAAAATGATATTTTGGACCTAATCTAGAGACTTAATGATGTACAAATATTTGATTGGTTGTCTAATTTCATCTAACATTGGAACTCACAATTAAACTAATCTAATGGTTACATTAAAACCACATAATTAGATTTTTAAATAAGATTCCTACAGCATTACTCATAAATTATTGTAAAGTTCTACAGTGACTCGGTTTGACTCGCGCGCAGCTCTACAATTTCTAGCTCGGATGTCTACTGTTAATGAGACAAATTGCTCAACTCTAAAATAACTACCTCTAAATTTACCACCAAATATTTTACCCCAAACCTATTTACTAAAATAACTACCTCAAATAGTACGTAATATATATATATATATGTGTTGGAGAAGGGGAAGGGAAAAGGGGAAGGGGCTTGACCCTTGACCTCAAGAAGGCAAGACCTTTACAAGGTATGGAGTATCATTGGACTAAAGGCTCGTTGGTTACGTAAAAATATATTAGAAATGTGTATATAACACATATGCAACCCACTTTTAATTCAACAATTGTTATTAACTAGGTTTCCACTTAAATTAAGTACAAATAATATTTTTCTTCTCAAAATGATCACTTAGGAAACTCCACAAGTCATATTACTATTAGTATTGGAGAGTAATGAATACAGAAGTGACAAAATGTGCCCAATTCTACCTCGTAGCATACAGAAATGTGTGTGATGTCAGAATTGAACTATTATACCGGAGACCTAATCATAGGGATTTAGACTCACTTTGACATGTGTCTTTCAGTTCGATTTAGTAGTTGTGTGAGATGTTTTTTGCACAATAAATAAATAAAAACAGCTCTTTTCCCTGGTGAATTTGTGTTTACCTCAAAAATTGACGGTTCGATGGCAAAGGGAGGCCAAATGTGGCCTAAGGAGTGATGATGAACTGCTTTAGGGGCTGTCCAATCAATCCCTGCAAGCTGTAGGCGGTTCCTAGCACAAAAAGATGGATTAAAAGGGTGCCAGAGTGTTTTCCTTAAAGCACGACCGGATTTTTGGATGCCTTAAAGCCTAACCGGACGACTTGCTCTGTGACTAACCCTTCCGAGGAGACTATCAATACCCCAATTCCAGAACCCTTGCTGTTGGAGGATCCGTCCATGTAGAGACTCTAGGAGGGTCCCTGGACGGCCGCGGAGGGCTCCTCGGGGAGAGGTGGCTCCGCTTTAGGAAGAGGCGGTCCTCCATTGGTAAACTCAGCGATAAAGTCTGCCAACACCTATCCCCTTATAGCGGTACGAGGTTTATAGTGAATATCATGTTCCCCCATCTCCACCGCCCACTTGACTATTCTTTCAAACATGTCCGCTTTTCTTAGAATTGGTTTCAGGGGTTGATCCGTGTGGACGGTGATTGGGTGTGCTTGAAAGTAATGTCTTAACTTTCTCGTGGCTATGACCAGGGCCAACACAAACTTTTCTAGGGGCAAGTATCTGGTTTTTGCATCCAGTAGGGCCTTGCTTACATAGTATACTGGCTTTTACTCTCATTTATGTTCACGGACCAGTACACCACTGACCACAAATTCCAACACGACCAAGTATAGGAACAACATCTCCCCCCTCATTAGGACGGATAGGGTTAGGAGGATCCTGAGGTACTCCTTGATCCCCTTGAGTGCATCCTCGCATTCCTAATCCCAAGTTTCTTTCCCGGATCTCTTGATAACCCCAAAGAAAGGCTTGCACTTGTCCGACGAATGAAAGATAAATTTGTTTAGTTCAGCCAGCATTCTTGTGAGTTTCTGAACTTCCTAGACTATCTGGGGGCTTCGTATGTCCATGATGGTTGTATTTGTTCTGGATTACCTTCGACTCCACGTCAAGTCACTAAGTATCCAAGGAACTTCCCGAAGCCAACTCTAAAGACACACTTAGCCGCGTTCAGCTTCAGTCCGTATTCTCAGAGAGTAGAGAAGGTGTCTTCCATATCCGTAATGTAATTGTCTCTTCTCCTATTCTTCACCAACATATCGTCAATACACACCTCCATGGTGTTCCCTATCTGTCATTTGAACATTCGATTCAAAAGTCTCTGGTACGTAACCCCTGCATTCTTCAGGGCGAACAACATGACCATGTAACAATAAACCCCCCTTGGGGTGATGAAAGCAGTTTTCTCTTGGTCAGACGGATGGAGAGGGATTTGATGGAAGCCAGCCCTGGCATCCAAGAAGGTCATGCGCTGGTATCCTGCCGTGGCATCCACCAGCTGGTCCACCTTTGGGAAGGGAAAGTCATCTTTCGGGCAAACTTTGTTTAGGTGGGTGAAGTCCTCGCAAACGCGCCACTTGCCCCTCTTCTTTTTTGCGCAAACAGTGTTTGACAGCCGTTTCAAAACTTCACCTCCCGGATGGTGTTAGCCTCCAGGAGTTTATCTATTTCCTCATTCACCGCCAGGGCGTGATACGGCGTCGTGCGCCAGGGTTTCTACTTCACTAGCTTATAAACAGGATCAACATGAAACTTATGGGTTATGACGACAGGCTTTATGCCCTTCATCTCTGTGGCATCCCATGCAAACACATTTGCATTCCTTCTCGAAAAATTTGTCATTTCTTCCTGTTCGATTGCGAACATGGTGAAGCCGACCAGGAAGTACCTCTCTTCATTTTCTTCCACCAAAAGTACCTTTTGCAGATCCTCTACTAAGCGGTCTACCAGATCGACCAGCGGCTCATCGACCCCTAGTCGCCCAGACTGTAATTGTTATTTATTCAGGACCTCCTCCGAGGCTCGCTCCTTCTCCTTGAAGGCGACCCCCATTTTTACTGCTGCATAGAATAAACTTTTAGCAGAAGCCTGGTCTCCGCAGACCTCCCTTACTCCTTCAGGGATGGGGCACTTCAATTTTTGGTGATAGGTAGAATGTACTACTCTGAGTGCATGCAGCCAGGCCTAGCCCATGATTATGTTATAAGGTGAATCAGAGTCAATCACCACAAACTTCATGTCGGTTATAACGGGTCCCATGGTAATCGACAGCATGATCTTGCCCAAGGGCAAGACATATGAACTATTGAATCCAACGAGGGGAGTGTTGACTTTGGTAAGATCCTGAGAACCCAGACTCATGCGTTTCAAGACTTCGAAGTACATCACCTCTGAAGAACTCCCGAAGTCCACCAAGATCCTTTTGACATCAAAATCACTGATCTTCAAAGTTAAGATCAAGGTATCGTCATGGGGGAGGACCACTCTTACCAAGTTTGCATTGGAGAAAGTGATTCCTCCATCCGTCTGGGGCCTCTTACTGGTTCGGCCCCCCCTCTGTCGTCCACCTTCCTTGTAAAGGCCACCCTTTTAAGGTCGGATCTGAGGGTGTTAGAAGTTGGTCGATCTAGTGGGAAGACATCAATGACACTATCTCAGGTAGTGACTTGATTATTGGCACCATGGGCCTCCACTGGCATGATTTCCTCAATGTATTCCTTCAGGTGTCTTTCTTGTACCAATTTTTTCAGGAAAGACTTGTAGACTCTGCAATCTTCGGTGAGATATCCCACGTCTTGGTGGTACGAACACCTCACTTTTCTGGTTTCTGGTGGACGGATCGCCCTACATTTTGGGTGGCCATTTGAAGAAAGATTCCTTCTTGATCTTGTGAAGCAGTTTATAAATGGGCTCCTTGAACGTCGTATTGACCCCTTTGAAAGAACTCCCCGATGGGAGCACCAATCCCTTCTGGGAAGGGGTCCATTTTTTCTCCTTTTCTTTCTTCTTAGGGGCCGTGGACTTCACCTTGCCCCCCATCATCTCATCTTCTATCCAAGAGTACTTGTTGATTCGGGTCATTAACTCGCCCATGTCCATCGGTGTTTTCTTTGTCAAGGACCTGCAAAAGTCGGTGTCCCGTGAGAGGCCAAGTTTGAAGGAGGTGGACGTCATGACCTCAGAACATCCCTCCACCTCATTTACTTCTTCCCAGTAGCGGGTGATGTATTGGCAGAGTGTTTCTCCTTCCTTCTGTCTCAGGGTCAGTAGTGATCCAACATCTTTGGGGCGCCTGCTCCCTGTAATGAACCAGACAAAGAATTGCTTGGTTAGTTCCGTCCAAGGTCTTATGCTATTGACTGGAAGAGTTTCAAATCATTTCATGACGGAGTCCCCCAAAATCATTGAGAACACTCAGTATAGTAGTCGGTGGTCTAAGTGGTACAGAGACATCATTTACTTGTATTGTCTAAGGTGGGCTTCCAGGTCAAAACGTCCGTCATAAATTTTGAATCTCGATACCACAAACTTCTTTGGTACCTCCATCTCTACAATACTCCTTGTGAAGGGCGACTGAATAACTTCA